GCTGGCTTGCTTGCCTGCTTGCTTGCTTGCTTGGTGGTTGCGTGGGTGGTTGGGTGGGTGGATTGATTGATTGAGGTTAAATTATAACCGGTTCGATCCAGTAGATGCCAGCATCAAAACCCCAAACACCGAAAGACAGTAGATCGTCGACCTCGGCATCGACGATCTGTCCCAACCCAGGCCCTAGACGGAGAAGGCCTAGCACCTCCCAAACCTGACCGCCTGAAGCCCTACTGGGCTGAATCTTAACGGTGGTTCAGGGTTTAGGCCCCAAAACCCTCAAGCCGTAAACCAAGCGTCTTCAGCGGCTTCAAGACTTCCTTGCGCTGTGGGTCCTGCTGCAGCACAGACACACACAGGTCGGATACTAGTGTTGCAGATGCATTCACTAGCATCAGTCTCTAGAGTGCGTCTGTGTATCTATATATATATATATACATACATATACACCAATATAGATGTACAGAGTATGTAGCATCTTAATGTGTGTTATCAGGTTCTATATATACTCCGAGAAGATCCCTCAAGCAGGCTCTGGGTGCCGCTTCTGCGGTCCTTCTGGGCTTCCTCCACAGTCTTCTGACAGAAGCCCTCGTCTGAGGTCTTCTCAAAGCCTGCTGGCACGGGATACTTTGAGGCTCACAGCTGGAAGCAAGTGTAAGCAGGTTTGGGGTTCAGGGTTGTTGCAGGGATTGGAGCGTAATGTAGAGATGTTTGGGGACTACAACAGCTAGTCGAAAAGCCCAAAAACCCTGAGGCACTTAGTCCCTTTGACTACCCATGAACTAGATTTTGACTCTGCGAAGCACACAGACCTTGAGCCCACATGTGGACTCTAGAAAGCGGGCGTAGTATACTTCAACCGTTGGCAAGGTAAGGCTGCCAACACCGCTGGAATCACTCGGGACGTGAAGACTTCACAACCACCTTCAGAACTAGGGCGCCAAACGAACCGAGGTCTACGGCCCAAAGTCGGATAAGACTGAGCAACGACAAAAAACACATCGCACGAAGCAGCTGCTCTTGAGGACAATCTGCGCCCCAACGCTTTTAGAGAAGCCACAAAGCCCAGCAAGCCCGCAACCCGAACACACAATGGCTCAGCGTTTTTGGGTGTAAGGGGTTTAGAGCTTCAAGCTTCGCGCTTCGGGGTTAAGGTTTAGCGCTTCAAGCGCTCAGGGTACACTCCCGGACAACCGAGCCCAGGAGGAGAACCTCAGAAGTGTCGGAAACGGCTAGGCAACCCTTTCAAGGGCTTGGAGTTTAGGGCTAAGGCTTTCGGTTAGAGCTTGCTGTTTCAGGGATTAGGGCATGATACCCCACACACCCATTGGGAAACAGCCCAAACTCTGTAGTCAATGCTTCATGAACCCTTTCGTAAGTCTGCTAAAGCCTCGCCCAGTTCAGGGGCTCAGAAACTCGTCTGCTACCCCCAAAGCCTCTGAAACCCTGATGCCCTGCATCGCAATTATCCTTCCCCTGCCTTTGGCAAGCTGCTGACTGTACTCATCCAGCGTCTTGAAGGTGCAGGCGATGGCTGTGACAACCTGCTGCTTGGCAAAGGGAAAGTACAACGGCCACGGGGGGATAGCCACGGGGCAATCTGAAGGAAAAGCTCTGTGCAATTCCTTGGAGCGCTCATACTGGTAGTAGATTACATGTTTCATTGTCGGGGGTTCCTAGGGTTGTGGTTTAGGCTTTGGCCAAAGAAGCTGAAATCTTTGGGCTTTGGAATTCCGGCCAAAGTAGCCGGAAAAGAAGCTGAATTAACGGCTCCCTGCCCAAAAGCCTTCAGCCCCAACCGCCGAACTTGAGACCCCAAGACCCCTAATACCCGAAGTGCAGAATCCAATTCGCCAAATCCCAATGCCCTAAAGGCCCCAAATCCGAAACTGCCCGGTCAACCTCAAACCCGAAAGGAACAGCCCAAACCCCAACACCTCGGCAGGTCCCAAGCTTCTCCGCCCGAAGATGAAGCACCCCCTTCCCTAAGCTCTAGACCCTGGACCTCAAAACACCCTAACCCTGAGCCATAAATCATTCAGCCATGCTTTGGGCTGGGTCCCCGGCAGGGGTCGAGTCGGGTAGGGTCAGACCGGTCCAAGGCAATCCCTCCCGGCGGTACCTTTCAGTGGCTCTAAGGATAATGGACTCTGGTTTCGGTTTTAGATCCGAAAATGGCTTCGGTTTCGGGCCTGAGCATGCAGGGGTTCATTGGTTGAAGGTGGCTCTGAGGCTTGTTTTGGGGAGTTGGGGTCTTTCGGTTTGATGGAAGCGTTGGGATGCGGAGTGAAGGCTTTGGGGATTAGGCTTCGCTTAGCTGCATGCTGCATGCTCACCTTCATGTGTGCGTACAAGGTAGTGTAGTGTCTATGTCCTTTGTAGCTGCGGATCTGGGATACCAAGCTCGCGAAGTGTACACTTTCATGTCCCAGTTTCGGGGTTCAAGCGTCTAAGCTTGAGCTTTGGGATGAGGATCCAGATCATTTTGCCGTTTCGGTTTGGTTGCGACGGTATGCCGGTATGAGTATGTATGCATGTACATCTTTGTGCTGTCGGGTATATGCATGCGCACAGAATACATACCACTACATACCGTCACATACCCATGTAGCCACCAGCAAATCCCAGCGAAAGCAAAAGCTGCCAGGGTGCAAATTCTGCTCTGCAGTGAGGACATTCCTCAGGAGTAAGAAGGATCGTCGGATAGCTTGACCAAAGGGTTGCTAATTGTTGTGGCTGTGCCTGGGATAAAAACAGTGTTCGCAAACCTGAAGGCGGCTTGGTTGGCTCGGGCTTGAACAGGGAGCGTACAAGCTTGCCCATGGTGTCCCTAACCTGCAGTTGAGACTGCAACCCTTTTTGCTCAGCTCCGTAATCTGGGCTCAACTTCGAAAGTAACTGACAAACGTCCCTTCTGATGGTTGCAATTCCTTAGCAATCCTACACTTGCGTGCAGCAAACAAGCTTAACTACCACTACTCTGCTCCGAAACCAAGGGTCTCCACGAAGTATTGCTGGAGGCGCTCGTTCGCCAAGTTGATGCACAACTGCTCGAAAGAGTTGCCTCTTGGCAGTCCGACATTGATGGGCATAATCACCGACAAACCGAATCATGCCTCATGCAACAAGACTGCGGGTGCACAACGAAGCCCGGTACTGCGAAAACCCGTAGTATGAGTCCAACATTGGCAGCCGAGAGGCGCTGAAGACGCTCGAAGCCGTAGATGTCCAGGATGCCAATCTGGCAGCGCTCGACTTCGTCCTGCAACAAGAGCTTTCCAAGCAACGTGGAGAAGAGACAACGACGAAAACTCTCGCTATCACGATCTCAGTGTTGCCAGGTATCCTCATCATCAACGGTATAGCCATCGCCATCGTCGTCGTCACTACTAAGTCATCACCATCATTGTCCCCGTCGAATTATAGTTCCCGTCGCCATCATCATCATCATCATCATCATCATCATCATCATCACCATGTCCAGCAGCAATAGCATCATTAGACTAGTCACCACTATGATGTATCATCATTTGCACCGTCTTCGTCATCGTCACCGTCAACATCATCAGCACCATCATTGTCATCAATCCTTGTCGCAGCCATCACCACCCCTAGTCAGTATGCCAGCCTCCTGGCTTACATGACAATGAGCTCTTCTTCGGATTTGCTTTCAGGAAGGTTGCGAGCCTTTCGGCTTTGTATGATACTCATCTCCTTCCTCCTTGCAGTTTCCTACACTGACGATGTTTACTTTGCTTTTCACATCTGCTAAGCTGGTTCAGGTTGAGATGATGACGACGACGATGGTGAGGATGATAATGATGACGATGCTGACGACCATGTTGAGCATGATGATGTTGATGATGGTGCAGCAGTGCAGGCGCTGCTGCTGATGGTGATATTGATTGGGGTGATGATGATGATGATGATGATGATGACCATGACGATGACTGCAACGACGATGATGCCAAGTCAGCAGCAGTAGCAGCAGCAGCAGCAGCAGTACCAGCAGCAGCTGCTGCTGAGGGTGCTGCTGCGGGAAAAAGAACAAAAAGATGAAGAGCATGACTGAGGGGCCGGTGAGACCCTTCCGCCTCTCCGGTGGCAGGCTTTCGCAGCTCGGAGAACGAACCTCAAGAGAGTGACTTCTTTCTACGGCTTCCGGCTTTGTCACGCAGGATGCTCGAAAAGCTGGGTGGCATATGGGCTTCGCCGTTGCAAAAACCTAGTACCGGCAGTGCTCAGTTTGTCGGATGTTGCACAAAGAACTCAGAATGCTTTCTGTCGGGTCGGAATAACGTAACAACACTGCAAGCACAGCGGAAATTGCAGACCTTTGTTTGGCTTCCTGCAAGACTCTTACCGTAGATTACTGTAGAGGACCTTGAGGTTTTAATTCATTAAATGCCTCCGGTGATGTTGGTGTGCTTCGGTCGATAAGGCTGCGTGCTGTACTCGAAACTGCCGCGCTCCGCACAGGAGCCGGGATTGGAACTTGTTTCTGTTGATGCTGTTATCCGCTATCGGCGTATCGCGTGCATGTCTGGCTGGAAACGACCCTGCGCAGCGATGTCACAGCGGGACCGCAGGATCAGAGGAGCAGTGGATGGGAGGCTTTTTCCAGCTGCCTGTCGCAAGACCCGGTTTAGGAGCTCCGTGGCTTAAGCAACCCGTCGTGATAGCAGTTCTAGAGTCCAGAGTTGGTGAGGGCGACGGCAAACTGGCACGAGCCAGAGGCCCACAGCGAAAGGCCCTGCTGCTGAGCCGGGTGCCGTTGATGCGGGCCACGAGGCGCTCAAACAGCCGTTTGTAAAGCGCCTCTCAGAAACAAAGGGAACGCTTTATTCCGAGCTACAGGGATGCATAGACCTAAAGGTTCGGAGGGCAGGAAACTGCGGCTTGGAGGTCTCAGAGTCTTCTAAGTGGTCTCGCCCTAAACCCAAACGCCTGAATCCAAACGACTGCCCTTCAGCTCCTCGCTGACGGTCCAAAGGCCCGCCTTGATGAGGCTGAACAGGGCATGGCGGAACTGAAGAGTTGTTCGAGGGACCTGCCACCGAGTTTCAAAGCAGATTCCTGTAAAATTCAGGCATTTTCTCGGAAGGGAACCTCAGCCGGGGAAATCTCCAGGCGCAAAAGCAAGAAAACACCAACATCGGCCTTGTTGCAAACAGCCCCCACAATAATTGAGTCAATTGAGATATCCTCATTCCCGTACGGATATCATCGAAAAGTTCCCCAATTGCAACCTACGAGTAACAACGGCAAGCATGTGTGTGCACACTTGTTCTCTGCACGCACGTCTACACTCTACACGCTGCATGATCGATCCTGAGGTGTCACAACATGTCATCACCCTAGACTTGTCGAGCATGACCGTTAAGAGCGACCTCAGAATCCGAACCCGTCCAAGCAATGTCCTCGAAAAGCAAACATGTTGCAAACGTTTTCCAAGCCCACTTCGGTGCATCTGGAAAGCAAGACGTCAGCAAAAATTTCACACCCCGGACTGAAATCTTCTCGAGTGGTTCTTAAATTCTGAAGCTGGGATCACCAGCCCCAAAGCCTATAAGGAAAAAACTTACACATTGCCTTCTACATGTTGATTTGATTCACTTCAGCGGAAGTTCGGCCTCATGGATCGACTCCCGACCAACACGGGTGACCTTCACCTGCAGAAAATTGTTTTTTAGTGGGGAGGGGGGGTCAAAGTGATAGGGTTGTCGAGGTGGCGTTTAATGGTTATGCTACCGGTGTTGACGGGTTGTCTTAGAGGTTTCTAGGATTGTGCAATTTTCCTAAATTACCATTAGGGGTCCTCTGCCGTTGGCTCGTACGCTAAGGATCCTACGAGTCTGTTGATATCTAGGCCACCAAGGGCAGCCTATTTTCTGAAGCTCACATATGACACATTCGACTAGGAGCCGGGAGAAGGGCATGGGGACCGGCCGCGGGCGCAAACCCTAGGCCGTAAAGAAAAAACCGTGAACCCTTTATCCTAAAGTCTTGGGGTCTAGTGGCTTGAGATGGCTTGACGGTTTAAGGTTTCTGGGTCGGGCTTTCGATGAAGACTTCAGATTCACGATGAGCGAGCCATGCGGCTCCGGGTTTATGAGCAAGAACGAGCCTCTGCCGCAGAACTTTCCGCACCCTACTCCCAGAACTTAAAGCCCTGAACTGACACATACGATTCAAAAACAGCAGGTCAACGGCGGTACTCTAAACCTTGCGCAGCGGAACCAAATCTAAGTAAACGACGACTTCTACTGCCACCAGCACCTACTGGTACAACTATTGGCATATTGGTACTACTAGTAGTACTGACTGGTAATACCAGCCCAGCTCGCCTTGCGCCGGCGCAAGGCACTGCCGAGTTCGGAAGGGTCAATGCCGAGCAACTCGGCCGCCTGTGCGCAGGATTGAAATCTTAGACAAGATCTCAAAGAGGATTGAACTTCGGTTTTGCATGCCAGAAGCCTTCAATGCCCACGCGCTCTTTGCTGAGTTCTTAAGCTGTTAGAGGCAACTTCCGGACTTGATTCCGAACCTCAGCTGTAGAAGCCCGACCTTCTCCAAAGTCTCTTCGTCGAGCTGGATGGTGGCACTTTCGTCATCTGCCCGGCAGGAAATGCTGGGACTGCTAGGACTGTTTTCAGGACTGAAGCATCTGCTGAGCTTGGATGCTCGGCTGAGGCTTCCTCAACTGAAAGACCCTTGCGAAAGGACACCCCACCACGGTCTGTCTTCCCCGTACTGGGCGCACCGTCGTCCCTCTCGGCCCCGGATAAATCACCCAAGTGGACCAGGCCAGCAAGCACCTCAGCAGGGTACACGTGCTCGGGTTTTGTCCGGTCAAGGCTTTATCGGGGCGGAAAATTCTCACACGAGTCTGCGGGAATAATGAATTCAGGGGGTGGTTGGTGGAAGGAGGAGGATTCTGCTGAGTAGCTGCCTCTAAACCGACACTGGCAATCCTGACCCCTGCACGTGGCAGAAGGAAAAGATACGCCGTACTTCGTGCGGTACTTGACATGGACGAGGATGGGAACCTCGATTTATTGCTTGCACTGCAATGAACCCTGAAGCCAAAACCCCAAGTGCAACAAAACCTGAATCCTAAACCCAAGTCCCTCAAACCCGAAAGCCGGCCCTGCTGGGACACCTGGAAGGTCAGGTCGATGTCCTCCTCACTGAAGCCGACATCGCGGAGAGCAACACACAGCCGGTTGAAGTTGCGGAGGTCGAGATCCTGCGGTGCTGGAGGTTCATTCGGTAGTCAGAGCCACTTCTGATCTCTCCTTCAATAGCCACGTCCTTAAGAGTATATCTTTTCTGTTGACACCCACCCATACTGGATTCTTTGCACGTGTGTGTAGAGGAGAGCGAAAACGCAAGAAAGAAGGCCCCGGCCAATCTTGTCTCCTTCGTGAAGAGGCCGCAACGATCAGAAATTGCTGAATAGTAGCACTAACACTCCTCCTATAGAACCAAAACACCAAAACCTATCTCTAGACTCGACCACCATAAAGCCCCCAACACCCTTAACCCTATGTAATGCCCTCACATTTGCAGGCTTCCGGTTCAGCAAGACTTTGGCTCCTTGAACTGAGCATGGAATCGCTTCTCCTCGCTGGTCTCCTCCTCTGCAGGAACGTGGGGGTTAGGGGCACCTTGCAGATTTTTTATAGGTCTCAAACTCCCAAGTCTCTGCTCATAGCTAGAAGGCCACGGTCAGGTGAGATCGATTGAGGACTCAGGCGGCTTAGGGTATGGAGATTACAGAGTTTGAGGCTTATGGGCTCATCCCGCAACCCCCAAAGCCAGAAAAGCCAGAAGGACAACCTGATCGAGGGAAGAGTTGGACTAGGGGTTGCAAAAGCATATCCCACCTCAGGCATTTATGCATAGTATGTATATATATATATAGAGAGAGAGAGAGAGCTTACAGAGGAGGCGTGAGATCATTCAAGTTTTTAACAGGCTTCCGACCATGAGCTCTAAATCGCAGAGACTTCGTCTTGGAGCGAGTCTCCTGAGTGGCTGATGCCTGGCCCTCGTTCGCCAACAACAAGTACAACTTCCTCGGTCTGCGAAAGGCTTCCTTCAGTTTTGGGAAAGATTCAGACTTGGGTCATGGATGCTGTTTGAGATCTTCGGAACACTACCTAGCTGTGTCGAAACCTTCAAGTAGGATTGCAGATGAGGGTAAGTTCCAAGTTGCCGGGATTTGGAAACGACGCGTAGAAGGGTCCGCGATACCCCCAAATGCCACCCGTATATGCAGCGAAACCTCAAGATGCATAACTACTCATCAGACATGTGGCGCTCTGTCCAAGTGCAGCTTCTTCAGCTTCTCATCGGGTAAACCACTAAGCATCTCCTGACAGGGCTCCAGCTTTAGGCTGACGACCTTCAAAGTTGACGTAGTGCTTGGTAAGCTTGGTAGGTCCTGGTAGGTGCTTTTTTCGTCATTTTGGGAGCTGGCGACTCTGAGAGCAGCGTACACCGCTGTCAATGTTGTCAACATGGGTGTGGAGAAGGCATCCCCGATCGCTACGAAGCAGACCGAGGCGAGTGGCTTGGAGCCGAGTTCTCTGAACTTTGAAGCCGTGTAGACTGTAAGCCAGTCGAGGCACGTAGAAGCAGTGGTACGTCCTTTCGCGCTTCGCATGCACGACGACCCGAGAGCTTTCCAAGAGGTATGTGGTAACCTGCTTCTGCGGATGCATGAAGAAGCAGGAAGGAAAGCATCTAAAGAAACAGAGCCTCCCTTTTGCGGCTGTGTGGCACTGGCATCACACAATGTGCCATCCTCATCGAAGAAGATGCCTCGGCCCAAAACATGGACAAGACGTGGAACCCCCGCAAGTCAAATCAATGCATGGTGCATTACTCGCTCGTCCGGGGTGCTGTTGTACTTTCCGAAGCGCGAGGAATTGTTGTTCCTGGAAGGACATGATCGGTTGATGGAGCGGTCCGGCATCTCAACACGTGAAGGCCAAATTCTTGCCCTGAGGCTTTGGCGCCGGGAAAACAATTACCCCAACTTCCTGGATCACTCCGACCTCCAAGCCCTGAATCACCCTGAACCCTGCAGTCCTCATGGTAACAGCATTTCCGAATGACTCCAGGATCGGCTGTGCTTGTAGCACTCGCCTCTGGATCTGGGCCTCGAATCCAGCGCTCGGTGCGCGCTTTCCGCTGTACTGAAGACCCTGGTCCGGCCAGCTATGCTGCCACGGCATTGCTAGAATCTACTGCAGGATGTCTTTTCGACAAGATGTAACCGCGAAGCCTCAAACCTGGAATCTGCAGCACAGCCCGGGATCGCATCGGCTGGATTCGAAAAAGACACGTCGTGCCGCCAGGGGCTATCTTAAAAAGCACCGATGGAGTAGCCTAAAGCTGCGGCTTGATCCATCGCACTTATCGACAGATGCGCAAATGTCTCGGAGGACATACACACTGCAGAAACCTACCTCGATCTTCTCAGAATTCAGATCGCCCAGTCGCAGTCATCTGGTTGGTTGACCCGGAGACGTAGCCCAAGTACTCCATGACCTTAGAAGTAAAAGGAAAGTGGCCTTAAAAGATGCAGGCGAGGCAAGGAGAGGGCCCTCTGCGATGCTCTGCACTTTTTTGGAAACTACCAGGATCCGGAGCCCAAACCCACCTTCCCTCGAGCCGAGTTTCAATTTTTGCCGTCTCGGTCTTTCCAGCACCGCTTTCTCCAGAGATAATGAAGCCTTGGTTCTTGCGATCTCGTACCTGGCCGCGTGTTTCACTTCGGCAGAAATGTGCTGTCGGTGGGCAGTCCCACAGTGAGTGGAATCAAGCCCCATTATCGCCTGTAAGAACTGAAACGATCATGCCACCACCCTCACCATTCTGCGGGAAAGCAGGTGATCACAATAAGAAACCTTGAACCCAGCCCCAGCATGCCGGTGGCACCAGGGCCCTGTAGGCTGTGTCTGCGATGGCGTAGGGATGCGGTGGCAGTGCTCCGATGTGCTTCCCACGGTATCCTGACACCGTAGAAATCGAATCTTGGCACAAAGATCCGAATCGTGTGCGAAACAGGGGAGCCAACTGAACAGTGTAACATTCTCCAAGTCTATGTAGCTTCGCAGCTTCACAGACCTTCCAAGAGAGGAACACGGACTTCCAGATCACGGACGCGCAAGGAAGCAGAGAACCAGAGCACAATTTCCCTTACTGGCTGAATTGTCGGCACGTCGCGGGCGCACTGTGCCTCGCCGTACAACCTCGCAAAAAGACACGCAGATTGTTGTCGCAGTCGCATGTCTCTGGACTTTAGGGGTTGGCCAAAATATAGCGGTCCTTTGGGTGCTGTGCGTCTGCAACCCATCTGAGGGCAGGACCCGGTCACATCATGGTACGGGTTCACTGCAAGGAGCACCTTTGGCACAGCAGCATTGCAGAGACAGCAGGTGTGGGATCAGTAGTCGGGTGCGGCACGCTGGCTGTGTAGGTGTAGATCTCATCAGCCTGTCAGGAAAGCCATAACTTGGCTCTTCTTTCCTGATCCTAGCCCTGCAGCACAGTGTGGAGGCACTCGCCTCATGTCGTGCTCGCAGATTCTCCAGGATCGTCGCATCGTTCAGGTGCACTAAGGCGGTGTTGTCTTGGCCTGATGCCGAGTTTGCTGCGGAGATACACTGAACACCTGTCAGGGAAGGACTTCCTGGGAAAACCCTCGGCCGCCTTGGAGCCGTGTGCGAGTTTCTCTACAGGTGTCGAGGTAAGCTGGAATCGACTCTGGAGGTAGAGACACTTAGGCCAGCCAGGAGAGCTTGATGGAAAGCCCATGGAAAGCAGACCGTAAGATGGCAAAGTCCCCAAACTTTGAGCCCGTGTTCAAGCCGTACATGCGTAATCCCACGCCGCCCTATACTTGTTGTCTCTTGAAAGATAGGCCGAACCCCTGGAAAGCAGGGGGAGCCCTGACCAAATCTGCCCTTTTTGATGAATATAGTACGTACATAGACCACAGATCGAACCCCAAAGTCCTGTGCACCCGGGTCCCTGGCAGGTCGCGCCATCGTCACGGATAAACCTGCACGGATAGGAGGATTCAAGGCTTGAGCTGCACTGCAGGTGATCATGCTTAGCGTGTCCATGGATGCTAGATGCACTATTCCCGGCAACGCTGAACCCAACGTACAAGTTACAAGTTATTTGCAGATTGACAGGTTTCAATGCTCTTCCAGTCTTGTAAAGTCCAGAAATTGCTCTCATAATAGATTGAGGTTGTTCCTCTGACCCTGGCCGTATAAACCTTATTCTACCAACTCTTGAGACCCAGTAAGGGTCCAACAGACAGGTTTTTGCTCAGGCTTTGGGACATAGGTATGCTTATGTGGGCCTTCCGGGACTTACAGTACGTACTGCACACCTCCACCCCCATAGAGTCCCCTGACTCAGCCAGAAGCCGAAACAGACCTGAAACCTAAACTCCTCTCAACTCCAGAGATCACAAGACCGCTTGCCCTAATGAGACCAAGCCGAAAAAGAATCTGGAGAATCTTAAGACTGTAACAGCAAGTCACTAGTAGTCCTGTCCATATTGTTAAGCAGTTCAAGCGGAACCCAACGAAGCCTGAACCCATGCAGAGCACGAGTTGCAAGATCCCCGTACCCAAAGTCAACGCCTCTGTGAGAATATGAGGTCGCACAGGCCTCCGGCGTAGGTTCGATGCTGGGACGCGCTGCTGCGCCTTACCGACCTTCACGACCTCAGTGGGTAAGGAAGGCACGAACTTCAAACCCTGGACCCAAAGCCAGAAACCTGAAACCCTTCGCCGTGAGCCTTAAACCCCGAGTCTTCGAGACCTTGAACTTGAACAAACCCTGCAATCATCTTCACTTCCGCACCTTCAAGGAGCCTAGGCGTCAGGGGCAGAAGGCACAGAAGCAATCCCGAATCCTTGGCCTGCAAAGGTAGACCCCGATTTCCAGACCGCTTCGACCGTAGGGATTGAAGCGTGGCGAGGCAATACGCATCTTGGCCCAAGCAAGAGCATCTCAACATACCGAAGAACCCATAACCCAAAGCAGGACCAAACCCTTAAACCTCAGTCCTCCATGCTTGGTCCGTCAAGTGCACAAACTTCCTAAACTGCAAGCCCAAAACCCGAAAACGAAGACCCTTTCAGCGGCCGACCAGATCGCCCTCCTCCGGTGCTTCGCAAACAACGCCCGACAAGAAGGGCCCCTCCTTTCCAGATCGAAGCTTCGGAGCTGCGGGCGCTTCGGCCCTGAGGGTCCGAAGTCTCCAATAGTTGATTGAGGGCTCGCCTTGCAAGGGTTAGTCCGCTAGGGCCGTTAGGGTTTGGTGCTTGAGGTGAGGTGCCACGGAGCCTAAGACTTGGGTACGCGGGTCTGGGATAGCAGGTTATGAGGCAAGTGTCTCCTTGCGCTAAGAGCTTGTGGTCTGGAGCGGGCATTGGCTTTTGGACGCCAGATTACGATGGGACTCGATTGGTCGAGCCCGGGGCTCAGAAGCTGAAAGCTTGGCTGGAAAAAGCAGTGGCATGAAGCTCGTAGCGTCCCCCTAAACCTCGCGCAAGTCGAGGAGGCTCCTCTGCTTTGCCTTCCGGGCATGGCACAAAGACCAGGTCGTTGACCTGGGACTGTGCATTTCTTCAAGCTCCCTTGCTTTCGCCATCGTCATAGCAGTGGTAGCGACTCCAATGCCAGGCCGAAACCTCCAAATCCGAGCCTCCTCAACCCCTGAGAATCCCAAACCACCAAATCGCCCGCTGCTTCGAGCCTTGAACTGCGCACTCGGCATGGTGGCCTGGGCTCCAGAAGAGGTGAGGGATTCCGCGGTTAGCGCCTGCGGTCTTTCGAAATGGTCTTCGTGAGCACAGAAGACAAGTTTCGTGAACCGGTCTACAGATGGCTGAAGGTTGTAGTGATTTCGGCGGAACCCTCAGCGGCTGTAAGCAAGTGACCGTCCAAAGCCTTGACGATTTGAGCCCTGTGGACCTCTTGCTGGGGGCTTGGGGCTTCTCGGAGATTGAGGGGCTGCTTGCAGTGTGTGATGCTCTAGCCCTATTCGAGAAGGATAGAACTGTAATAAAGGAAAGTGGAAAAAAAGAAAGAACATGACATGATCCGTGTCGCTACGTGTCAACAGTGCGTACACTTGTCAATGCTGTAGGCCGTTCCAGATTTTCGGCTATCTTCGCCATTGGCGCAAAATGATTGCCTACAGAACTTCGAACCCGGAAAGAAATACCAATATGCAGAAGATCCCAGAAACAGATCCATGTCCACTGCCTGCATCCCAGGCTCACTTGTCTGGGCGTGCCTTGGCCTCTACTTGATTTTGCCCTCTTGAGCCAACCGAGTTCAGAAGATACCACACGTGACACAGGGGCGTATGGAGGCCTGCGTCAAGTCCTGGCACAAAAAAGCAGACCTGAGAACCCCAAATTGTGGATTCTCTTCGGGATCCCCCACACCAAGCAGGACCTGCGTCAGAGGCCCCCGTCCTTACCGAAAGATAGAACCATAAGTTTAACGTGACAGGCTTAGGGCGAAGGGCTAGCTGGACCAGGAAGCCCAGCACGTAACAACATGATGCAATCAAACCCTTGGCATTCCTGGACCCAGCACAAAACCCTTCCTGGACCCGCATGATAAGGTTGAGCGTTAGGCTTCGGGGTTTTAGGGTCTCTCCGCTATAGCGTCGAGGCATTAAAAGCTTGGCAGGGGGCAATGCAATGACTCATCCATGTTGTCGAATCCGCTGCTTGCACCTCCTCAGCATGTAGCAGTACTACTCCTCAGATGGCACAAGCATAGGAGATGCAGATCACACAGGCAGAAGCAATGCCAGTGCTACAGCTACCTCTGATGCCGAGAGTGCTGCGTGATGTGCACTTCTCTGCATATGTACAAGTGTATGTGACAAGTATAGAGACATACCTGCACATACATGCATAGATACATAGATACATACTTACATACATACATACATACATACATACATACATACATACATACATACACACGCAGGAATACATACCTACATACACGTATGTATTTATAACTGCATCTGTAAGTTACAGTTTAATTATGTTTGTATTATAGTTATGTTTATTATATATATATATATTGGTTTGTCTAGTTTTGGTTGTATACTTATTGCATATCTATGTATGGTTTTATTTGCACCTTCTAGAGATAGAGAGATGTGCCATTCCAGCTGCAGCCTGTGATCATAAGGCCCGGAGAGTCGACCCTCAGAGTCTATTTCACCATCTAGGGCCTAGGGCTGTTTAAAAGTGTTGTGTTAGACTGTGAGGCTTTCAGGAGCTTGGGACACTGAGGGTGAACTCCCGTCTCCCCCCCTCCAGCGCCGTCTGTCGCGCTGGCCTGGCTGGCCCAGCCACTCATGAAGAAAAAACTTCCCGCTTGCATGGTCATTAATTGGGTGAAAACGAAGCACTCGAAGTCGGTGCAAGCAGCATGTAGCATTTCGCACGCTGCAGAAAGTTGACACAGCACAACAGCCGAAGGGTCCGCGCTGGACTTCACAGGGCATTACATGAGCTAAGCAGACATGCGCCGCATTCGCCTTTTTGTTTTGTGCTGCTCAATATGTTCAACGAAACAGCGTCACAAGAGAGCTGACGTCCAGGAGCATTCAGAGCGCCATGCTACCTGATCTTGCCAACATCGACTACCCCGATCCTCTCCCCAATGGTACATCATGTAGCAAAGAACAAGCCCGGCTCAATGGTAGCAGATGTAGTGGCCACCACAAATGACAGCTCGACGAGATGCGAATGCTATCCAGGCAGACGGCATCGAGGGTTCTGAGGAAGTGCAACAGAGTAAATGGTCCCTTAATCCAGAGATCCCTGGAGCTCGAACCCAACCTGGGTCTCTTCAGATTAGTCAGCCACTTAAAGGTTAGAGTCCTCTGCCAAATGTCAAAACTTGAAGGTAGAGACGTCTCATCAATACACAGCGGTATACATAAACATGCACAACTTTGCTATACCTATCTGAGCATTTTCGTATGCCAAAAATGGATTGATTTTGCTAGGGCTACACGAGAAATGCAACAATGCACCCCTTAACCTTGAACTTAACCTTCGAAACCATACGACGTGAACCCTAATTGGAAATGGTGCAGGCCGAGGTGCAAGAAGTCGGTCTCTGCCCTCTCTCGCTCAATGTCCTGCCGAAACTCGAAGGAAGCTTGGTCTCAGTGCTGCTGTCTTAGGGCTTAGGGGGGTTCTAGTTCTTCTGACTGCAGCTATGGGTTTGGAGGTTCGTGCGACTGTAGCTATGTTTCACCATGGTTCCTTCACGGTCTGAACACGTTGCACAAGGTAATGGACTGCATCCTGCAACCCCGAAGGGCTACTCAGGCCAACAGCCGAGCGGACTTGTTGAATCACATCTTAGCCCTGAAGCGGCTGAGCTCAGAGCTAGAGGCCTACAAATGACCAAGCATCGCTCAACCACGTCCGATGTCTCTGTCCAGCAGCCGCGAGGCCCTCCCGTTTCCAAAAGCCCGACAAAGCTGAAAATCTATAAAAGCTGGGCAATACGTTCTGGAATCAGGAATCCTCAGGAACGGCATCTCAAATGATGTAGACCCTCCAAATACATTACCCCGTTCCCAGTTCCCTTTTCCTGTATGAGCATCTGACGCTGCTGATGCCACCACTCGCGGCTGCACTGCATGTGTTGGCGCGGACTGGAATCGTTTTCGTCTGACCTTGCTGGATCCCGGCAATTTATGAACAAGCCCCCGAAAGCCTGAACCCGAGCTTTGCAGCTTTCGCTGTTGTCAGTTCTCTGTCATCTGGTTGGATTCTAAAGCCACGGTCCAAACAGAGCAGACCTGGCCCCGGCCAGGGCAGAAGGCGGCTTCATGGGCGTTAGGCTCTAACATCCAGTAAAAGGTCTGCTCTCGTACTCTGGGGTATCTCTTTGCCACAGCCGCCAAAACCGCGGATGGGTGGGTGGGCGGGCAGGCAGATGGGTGGGCGGAGGGGCGGAGGGGCGAAGGGGCGGAGAGATGGAGGGATGGATGGAGGGATGGAAGGATGGACGGATGGAGGGATGGAGGA